TCTTCTCTAAACCCTAGCTAGAATTAAATGTATCAAGTCTCTTTTCATCCCTATTTTGCTCAATGCTCCTCCCTCCAAGTTCATGAAGGTCATTAACTAAAAGAAAAAAGGGTAGAATATAAACAAACATAACTTGAATTTGTATAACAAATAGATGCCGTGTTGGTTTCCCCTCTTCTTACTAATATTTCTACTATCTTCATGTATATAGGTTGTAATTATATTCTACAAAAAATACTATTTGTTGAAAATATACAAATATAGCATTATAAATAGCTAAATGGACAAAATATTCTTATCAGAAATAACAAATCACGCCCTATATATTACAAACAAATAAAAATTCTTAATTTCAATATTCTAGTTAAAAAAATTTGCTCAATGAATAAAAATTAAAAGCAATCAATTTAAATAATTTTTACATTAAATGATATTCCGTTGCTAAAAAAATCTATTTCTTATTCACTTTATGTAGAAGTAATTTTATAACTTAAAAGTTTGTTAAGAATGCATGCGTAATTTATTGGTATCTAAAAGAGAATAATCTATAAATACAATTAATAAAAATATATGATTTATGTAAAAATGAAAAGGAGATAAAATTATGTACATAACGCCGTGAGAGGACTCTTATTATCTATTAAAATAAAATTATGATTTATATAAAAATTTAGAAAATACGCAAAATTTTCATGGGATGCTGCTTCTTATTCGTAATGTATTTGAATTAGAATAAAGCTATTTGTACAATTTGTTATTTCATTCATACATTTTTTTAAGAAAAAAGCTATTTGTACAAAAAGAATTTGACAAAAATGTTGACAAACACTCACATGATTGCCGGCCCCACATGAATAAAAAATTGAAAATAAAAAGTGGGCCCCCCCACATGTGAGGATTTGTCAACATTTTTGTACAAATTCTTTTGTACAAGTAGCAACGTTCTTTGAATTATTGCTTGAGGTCAAACAGAACAAAAACTATGTTCATCTTCTGAAATTGACATTGTTTACAAAGTAGACATATTGGAATCACCTTTGAATTCATCCCTTTTATGATTCGTCGAAACCTCATATGCCCGACATAAGCAAAATCAACTAGATTAATGGATTAGGTTTAGCATCTTACAAGAATTCCTTTCTGACATTCGATTGTGACATGTACTCTATCTATCCGCTACGTGTTAAATTCTAAATTATAAAAACACTATTCCGTACTAAAAAAATAATAGAAAACAAAAATTTTGAGAATTGTAAAGTCGAGACCTCGGTAAAGATCAACCTATAGTGTCTATGTTTTATACGATTTTCCGAAATTGAGTTGTTATTTATACTCCATTGATACATCCTGCGTTTAAATCTAGACCATACAATACAAAAACGATCTATTAGAAAACGTTCGATATACCGTATTAACTAGAATTCACCATGATTAATAATAAAAAAGTTAGAAAAAATTAAAAATCTTGATACTTGTCACCATTAGTTATATTGAATAAATCGTATCTAATGCGCAGTGACGGATCTAGGATATTGAGCCAGTTAGGACGACCGTTGACAACCGCAATAGCAAGATTGTTAATTAATATTTAATTAAATAATACTAAAAAAATTTCAATTGATATATAAATGCATTAAAACGTAAAAGTCATATAAATATGAAAATATAATTCAACACAATCCAAAATAATTTTATATATATATATATATTTGTTAATCATATACGAATGATCAAGTTTCAAGTTTTTATGAATTTAAACGAAACAAGACGAAGTTTATACTTAAAACATGATTAAACGGAAAAGACAAACTCAAGTTTAAGCGAAATTTATGCAAAATTTTTAAAACAATAATTTTAAGAATTAGAACTATTTTTGACTTAATGTTTTTCGAACTCTTAAAAGAAAAAAAAAATACTTAGATTGTCCAAATCTAATTTTACAAAATAAATTGATAAAATCCAATACTAAAAGTATATATTATGAAATAATAATTTAAGTAAATAAATTTCTTAAAAAAGATATTT